GAAGAAGAAAAGAAGAAGAAGAAGAAGAAGAAGAAAGAACAGGAAGAGGGCACGGAGAAGAAGAATACGAAGGAGGAGAGAGGACGAAGGAGGAGAGAGGACGAAGGAGAAGAAGAAGAAGAAGAAGAAGAAGAAGAAGAAGAAGAAGAAGAAGAAGAAGAAGAAGAAGAAGAAGAAGGAAGAGGGCACGGAGAAGAAGAATACGAAGGAGGAGAGAGGACGAAGGAGGAGAGAGGATGAAGGAGAAGAAGAAGAAGAAGAAGAAGAAGAAGAAGAAGCCCAAAAAGCAAGCAGGCTGATATATCTCCAGGCTGGGCGAAGAGACCAGCTTCATTGTCGGTGTGCAAGTTTGGCAACACACTGGTCGGAGCGCTGCTGGGGAAGGAGCAACGACACGGAGGAGGATGAAGACCAGGAGGAAGAGAAGAAGAAGAAGAAAGACGAAAGGAGAGGAGGAGGAGGAGGAAGAGACAAAGAGGGCAAGGAGGAGGAGGAAGAGACGAAAGGAGGGCAAGGAGGAGGAGGAAGAGACGAAAGGAGGGCGAGGAGGAGCAGCAGGAGGAGAAAAAAGGAAGAGGAGAAGAAATGAGGAGGAGGAGAAAGGAGGAAGAGGGGGGAAGAAAAGAGGAGAAGGAGAAGAAAGGAGGAGAAAGAGGAGGAGGAGGACGACGAGGAGGAGGAGGAGGAGGAGAAGAAGAAGAAAGGGAAGAAAAAAAGGAACTGAGGCTGCTCCGGAGGACATACAGGATTCCAGCTAAAAGCTGAACTCCTGTTGACATTGGACAGCTAACTTCATGAAGGAATCAAAACTGGTAAGGGAGTGAAGCTACTGCTGCGAAAAGAGAATGCCCTACCTTCTCCTGCCAGGAGTGATATATCTGAGTGATGTTATGCACCTTCCACTGCTGTAGATCGAACATATTCATCCCATATGCCCAGCCGCAATCATCAGGCTTGAAGTTCTCGTATATGAGAGGGTCAGAAAAGTTCAGGTACTTGTCGAATCTGTGGAAGCTCTCGCCACAAGTGTAGACGGCGCCGTTTACACGGCCCTCCATGTCAATGTCCCACAGCGGCGACAAGTCCCGCCGAACAACAATGTCATCATCGAGGAAGAGGATCTTGTTCAGCTTAGGGTACAGCTCAGGAAGGTAGAATCGGACATGGTTAAGCATCGACAAGTACTTTGGATTCCTGTACTTCAAATTGTTCGCGCCCCCTGAGATAGATCGTGCCGCGTTGCCGCCAAAGAAGTAGTCCTTCGTACTTTCATCCTTCAATTGCTTCAAGACTGGGCAGTACGACGCATTCAACCATGTGAAATCGTCGATGTTTTGGATCTCCAGAGTCGCATCTCCCGGCGGATTATCGGCGAACCAAGTCTGCATCGCACGAAGGTTCAGACTGTCGGTCACCAGGTGGAACACGTGTCGGCGCGACTCTTTGCAGTTGGTGATGGTTGAGTTGACGACAACTGCCGCAGCGAGCACGTTGTCCGTGAACAAACAATAATGAAACAAGTCATTGTCGATTAATGCACCTTCCGATCCTGCAACCACCCGCCCAATGCTTCCGCCTTTCTTTGCCTTGACGGCATCGTAGTCGACTGTCAGCTGCAGCGACAAGCAGTGTAGGCCTTTCGGAAACGCTTTCGCCGCCTGCTCTCGCAGATAGATTGTCGTCTTCTGGTATGCGCGGATTTGGTCTTCGGTGCTTTGTACAACCGTTCTCATTTTCTTCACCAACAGCTCAGGGTTATATAACTGCCTCCTCGCAAACTTCAGCAAGTGGCCCATCGCACGCATACGATCTGCCGTAGTGACAAGGTCCAACTCCGAGTCGACGGTTGCATCGCCAATCACATTGAGCATCTCCTTGCTCGACTGTCTGAGATCTTTCGCGAGCGTGCGCATGCCGCGCTGCAGAGCTATGGCCATGTATGCCCTGCCCATGATCGCTTGATCGCGAATCAGGCGGATGAGATGATCGGGCGCATCGCCCGTCGGGTCCATGCGCCACGGGGTTCTCTTCTGTGCAGTAGGAATCTGTCTTATCCTTCTCAACTGCATCACCGACTCCTCAATTTTCCGGCCGTCTTCTTCGTCGCCATTCAGAAGCTGCGCAACCCTCGCTTCCTGCCGCACCGCTCTTTCTGTCTGCTCGCAACCATTTTTTATGACACCACAAGATAGTCAGCCAACAATACCAACCCAACCACACAAAAAAACAACAACAACACAAGTTGGAGGGACTGAAGGATCAGCTCAAAAAAAAAAAAAAAAAAAAAAAAAAAAAAGTACTTTAAATTTTAAGACCACCATCATCAGATTGCAGGGGTTCCTTTTTCAAGGAGTGTTTTTTTTTTTTTCTTTTTTCAAAGTCTTCCATTAGCTTTCAGTCGCAGATGGGAACAAACACACCCTCCATTCTGTTCTTTTCTCGTCTTTCCGGATCAAGCTGTTGTAGAATTTGCACTAATTTTTTAGATCATTTCATTTCTTTTCCTTTCGCTAAGAGCCTACGAGGGTGTGCTGAAGGCGCAGAACATGATGTATCTTCTTTCCGTTTTTCAGACTTTTTCTTTCTTCTTTCTTCTTTTTTTTCCTTTCTTTTTCTTTTCGTTATTTTTCTCCTTTCTTTTTTTCTCTTTCTTTTTCTTTTTTTTTTTTCCTTACTTTTTTTTCCCTTTTTTCCCCTCCTCTCTGGTAGAGGGCTATACCTCTTCAGTATTTACGGAGTTCATTATCATGAACCCTTTTCAGTTTTGACTAGAGTCTTTCGAGTCTTGAGTCTTGACCTGATTATCAACAGTTGTATGTATGTACGTACCCTCTGGTCACCGGGAGGAATAGCAAGATAACCTTCTATTTGGCAGGTTTTGCAAATCTGCCCTGCTGTACTACTATCATCCTCCCTCTCACACAATGCAATGCACCCTCATCATGACTGTGTCAGACCAGACAGAAAGATAGCTTGTCTACATTCATGACCAGGATGCATTGTCTTCGGGTGCATTGGTTAATGTCTTCGGGTGCGTTCGTCAAACTTTGTTAATGTAAGGGTTCGGGTTGGGGGGGTTAGAGAACTAGGGTTTTGACTGACTCCGAAGGACGCCCGGGTTGACTGGCACCGAAAGGCGCCCCACACATTACTTTCCAATCTGCACACCTTCTCCCAAAGTAATCTGGATGGTCAAATCAGATGGATAGAATTCAGTTCACAAGCGCTAACCCTTTGAAAAAAAAAAAAAAAAAAAAAAAAAAAAAACCTGCTCTAGGCGTCTCGACTGTAATCAGATATTTTCTCACGTTTGCCCGCCCGCCTTGCATTGGTGTATGAAGTCCTTATGCATGTATGGAGGCCTGTCTCTTATACACATCTAGATGTGTATAAGAGACAGGCATTACGCTGTTAACATCAACTGTACATGACCAAGGACCACACACGAACCATGCAGATCATGTAACTGGAAGGCGGGGGTGAATAGATTGCAATACACCCTCAAGAGAGAGGGAAAAAAACACCTTCGATTTCAGCACAAATCTCACTTTGTTGCTATCAACCGCTCTTGTAGCTTGCAAAAGGGAGGCTGAAAAAAACAGGGGGGAAGGGGGGTAGAGAGAAGAGGATAGCGGTGGTAGTGAAGTAAGCGGGTGAGGAGAGGGAGAAGGAGAGGGAGAAGGAGAGGGAGAAGGAGAGGGAGAAGGAGAAGGAGAGAAAGTCCCGCTTCAGCTCTATCCTCCAGATCCAATGTGCTCATGTATCCGCGCGGATCATCTCGCCGAATTGCGGGAAGGGCATGGCAGTTTCCTGAGGCGCTTTTCTACCCCATGCCACGTTGGGTGTCATCAAAGGGAGGGGCATCATCCATGGTCTTTGGAAGGCGAGGGGGCGGATGGGGGGGTACGAGAGAGGATGTTACGAAAAGGGTAGGATGGATGGTTTCGGGGATGGGATGCGAGGGAGGGGGACGGGGGAAGGGAGGAGGATAATTCATGCAGAAGGGGACAAGGAAAGCAGTAGATGAAGTAGAGAAACGAGAGGAAGGAGAGAAAGGAAAGGAAAGCTAAAAAGGCACATGAAGAAGCCTCCGCCACCACCTTGGACTCCATCATTATACCTTCTCGCCATTATGTTACCCAATCAATTAGCAGGCTAGCGAGCAGTGCCTAGCACATAGAACAGGCAGCAGCAACTCGTGAGAAATAGTGCTATGAAGCAGACGATGCCACCAATGAGAATCGTAAAGCGTTGAGAAAAAGTGCAGAGAAAGACCGTCTCAAAAATGCACGCGGTGAAGAGCAAGCTGGCAATGGCGAGATTTGAAAGTAGGGCAAGGAGAAGAAGAAGAGCAAAAAAAATGTTCAGCGTAGGCGCAAATGGGAATAGGCAAGGCACAGCAGGTTCGGCGGTACAAAATGCGGTGGTTTGCATAGCGTCTGGCTGAGGTGCGGCTAGGCACAGTTTCGCGAAGGATAAATCGGGACGGTGCTCACGACAGGAGCGTTACCACTTCTTCCACCTCGTGCTGTTCCTCCTCCTGCCAGTGGTCCCAGTCGGCAAAGAAGTCCATGTCCCGCGTAGTCACACCAAACCTCCGTAAAGCTAAACCAGAACGCACCGTGCTTCAACTATTGTCAGATCCAATTACTGCATGGTGGCCCGACGAATGGTACCCCATGCGCTTGGTTCTAATATAGTCGCTGCTTCACCAGAAATAGCATTCTTCCGATGGAAGCCTCCGCTCCTGCTCGCTCGTTTGATGCAGTAATCCGTCGGTTGTGAAAAAAGTGGAGCAAAAAAAGAAAGAAAAAATCGTAAAGAAAAAAAGCAGAAAGGTCTGTTTCAAGCCCGAGTTTCGTTGGTCCGGGGCATTATTAATTGCGCGCTACTTGGCCCCCTCATCATCATGTGGGCATTGGTCCGAGAGCGAGTTGCTCTTATGGTTTGCACACGCCGATTGCACCGCCTGCCGGAACCGGGGGGTTCCTGCTTCCTGAGGTCTTTCACACGAGTCGGCCCTTCCGAAGGGAACAACGAGCAAAAGTGCACTTCAGGCTTTTTATTGCTCTTATTATTATTATAACACAAAGGATAAAAAGGAAAAAAAGAAAAAAAGAAAAGCGAGAAAAAAAGGGAAAAAAAAAAAAAAAAAAAAGGGAAAA